AAAGGGACAGTATCCTTTTACTTTGAATATAGCACCACCTGTCAGGACTATGGTGTATTGCAGCTTACTGTTAAGTGAAAGAAAAAAATATATATTTTTTTTATTTAGAGGTAGTAAAACAGTGCTGTCACAGAACAGATTGCAGAAAATTGCAGCAACATAAACCAACAAATGTATTATCTACTTCAATCAATCTTTCACCCCAGTATTCACAGAGAAAGTAAATGCTACATCTTCCAATATGTTCATTTTAATTGATGAGGCAAAAATATCTGCATTTAATCAAAAAGGTCACACTGCTTGATGTTAAGGTTTCTCCGATACTTAGTTGTTTCACTTTTACTGTTAGTCTAATGAGTTTTGATCTAACTTAAGGAATCCTAAGAGCCGAAAGCTTCTGATGGCATTAAGCATATATGCAATCAGACACCACAAACAATCGCTCTGTTTCATCTTTCCTCATATCTCCCTGAGACAATTACCTCCAATTTTTCTTCAATAACGCTTTCCCCTCTCCTTCAGTAAACAATCAAATCACTCCATTGTTGAGGGTAATTGGATCCTTTTAAATCAAATCAGCCGTTATGGTCATGATGAAGCATGGCCTGCGCAGCAGTAGTTGGTGACACATAAGGGAATGCAATGCAGGAATACATTACTGTCTCAGCCCCTCAGGTAAAGATAGCTATATTGGAAGAGCTGTGTAATACAGGTTTATTAGGCTGTGCAGTCATCAGCACAAGGCTTGTTTCTGTCCTTGAGGACGTGTTCCACTTGTAGCACACATTTCAGTAACAAAGACAGTAGATGTAATTGGAGGTGGGATGTACATGTTAGGCTTTTTTATTATAGCTTTAAAACACTCTAATTTGTCAAATATCATAAAAAAAAACTGATCTTCCTTCGCCTTTTCTACTGTATTTTCTCTCATAGTGTGTAAGTAGCAGATAACTATGCAAGGGCTTTTTGAATCTACAATTAGCTGAACCTCGGTTTTCACCACCAGAAATGTAAATGTATGATATTCTTATTTTATGTCATAGTCCAACAGAAGGAAAGGCACATCTGTGCAGTTGGAAAACAATGTCACACAATTAGCAGGATTTACAAATGTGCAGACTTTGTTTTGCTTTTGTATTTGATCCACCTGAGTCAATACTTCCTAAAACTACCTTTACTACCATTACAGTTGCAAGTGTTTCAGGATATGTTCTACCATTTTCTCATATGTAAACTAACATATTGTCCATTTTTTTTCTGCAAAGGAATGTAGAGCATTTCCACAAATTAGTTTGCAACCTGTAAAAGAGATTCTCAATTGATCTTAGCTTTTACTTCATTCCTAAGCATAAGTTTGCTTTCCTGTAAGGTGTTACATTAACATTAAAACTGAATTCATGTTTAGCTTAGTTGTCCTACAGAAAGGTGAACGTCTGCCCTCATCTCGACTCTTGCAGCACTTAACAGGTTTTCCTCCAAGATTTCTGCGTGTTGACCTCCCTCCATTTTCTCATTAACTCCAATTAACTTTTCTTACCCAGCTGCAGGAAAGCATTCCCAGAACATGTACGTGCTACCATAACGTGTCACCACTGGGACTATGTGTTAAGGCTTGGGTGCAGTGTTAGTGCTTCACACTTATGAGCCCTTCACAGAGGAGTTGTATTTAAACTGAGTGAAGATAGCAAGCAGCTTGTTGACTTTATTAAGGTACATTGAAAGGCAGAACATTGCACTGGATTTGTGAGTATCAGTGTAAAAGGACCAAAAATGCATTCTCCAGTTTAAAGATTTTTATTACTGAACTGTTTCAAAAGATACAAATGGTTTCCATTTTGGGCTTTTAATGCTCACATTTTTTAAAAGGATCTTTGTTATGCATTAACTTTGCCTTTTAAAATGCTTTAATATTACATTTCTTTTGGCTGATTGCCAGCTTAAAAGAAAAAAAACCTGCAAATTACCCTCAATTTTTCCTTGAGGTACATAAAGCATCTTTGTATCTCTATCCATGACTTAAAAAAATGAGAAAACAAATATTTCATAAGTAGGGCACCATTAGACTCATATTAAAATTTCCAACATCGTTGGAAATATTGTTTTATAAACATTTATGGATGGGCACCATGAAAATAAAAATACTGAATATTTCAATGAATATCAGCAAATAAACTGATCAAATCACTGAAAAAATCTAACAGCTGTAAGTGAGATGTAGGACACTTTTTCTTCAAATTGGTGTCAGAGAACGGTCAGTCGCTACAGGGAATGTCTCACTAAGGTTATTTCAGCTTAAGAAGGCAACACCATCTATTGTGGGTAGGGTGACCTAACTTCTTCTCTCAGTTAAAATCCACATTTTATTTGTTTAAAACTGAGCCAAACAGGGTTAAATGTTGTTGTTGAATTGAAGTTAATAGGGGTGTGCTAATGAAGTGTAAACTTGAAGACATTTTAATGAGCATTGCCTCTACTGTGGTGACAAATTCTATATATACTTGTGTTTACATAAAGCTGACTGTGGATGATTCAGGAGATATGCATGGCAATCTAAATTCAATCAAACTTTTTATTAAAAGCAGTTAGAATTTTTAAGGGTTCCTTCCATTTGATTCTACAGCTTTTAAGGCATCTCATCTTCCATTCGTCTAAGCTTATGCTAATATCAGCACTGGTTAAATCCGCCCCTTCATTCCAGAGCTTTCCATTCATCTTCTGTCCTCTCTCATGGGTGACCAGCACTCTGATGAATCGTCCTTTCTCCTGGTCCCTATTATAAACTTTCTAAACTTGGGCTCCATGAAATAAAAATGTGAAGATGTTCTGAGGGATAAAAGGATGTGGCTGTATACCTACATACTTGTGCAAGCATATTTACTGAATATGCTGCTGGCAACTTATCAGTGCGTTTTGTTGATAAGCGGAAAATATTTATGGCTCTGATATCTTCTCAAGCCTCCTGTGAGTGTCAGGTATTGCTGTTATACCTGGAGTCAGTCAGTTAATAAATTAGTCAGTCTATCAGAAAGCCAGACATCCTTAGAGAAAATGATCTGTCACTCTACCAGTAAATTAGCAAGTCAGTAAATCATTCACAGCTTTAATCAGTAAATAATTTAGTCCTTCACTCAGGCATTTGTCAAATCTTTAAATAAGTTAAGTAAATTACTGAGTGTTTAGTTAGTAAATCAGCCAAGAAATGATTCACTCGACTCAAGTCAGTCCCATAATGAGTTGTCCTCCAAGGATTCATATTATCTTTGTATTCAAAGACAATAGCTGCTTAACCTCTGCTGAGCCTGGCAACCTCTGATAACACTCCACCAATTAACTCAACTTTATCCTTAACGATGGACTCTTGAGCGTATGTTTGATTCCCATGGATTAATCCAGGTGCATATTTGAAATATCAGCATATATATATATATATATTTTTTTTTATTTTATTTTTTTTTTTTTACTTTCCTATATAGTACTCGTCATGTTTGACTTCCAAACTTGAAGGAATGCAATAATATGGCAATGATGTGTGGTTTTCATGTGCAGAAAGTGTATCAGAAATCCAAAATAAAGAGAAGTGGAAAGCTGTGAAAGGAATAAAAATATTTCTTGTTTCAAAGAGCAGATCTCAAGCTGCACAGAAAAAGTAGCCCGGCTACTTGGTGTAAGACTTAATGAAGTCACAGTAGCAGCAGAGGATTGGTCATTGGGTAAAAAGTGGCAGTTGAAAAGGCAAGTGGTGCTTTTGTTTTGTGCTGTGAAAACAAGTTGCTTAAAAGGTGTTATTTTACAACCAGTAAAGTGAACACAACAAGCCTTTCATTATAGAACTATTATTTTGGCTTCATTGTTCTCCGTTTCAAAAAAGGGTGTCAAAGCCTGTTTGAAATGAGAAAACAATAGAAAAGCAACGTCTCTTTACTCTGACTCAGATTGATTTGTTTTCATTACTCTTCAAATATTAAACTTGATTTATTTATTTTTATTATGCTATATCATGTATTACACAATGTTTTACTGAAAGGCTGATTTGTTCTTGCAGCGAACCTCTACTGATAACTGTAAGCAGCAGATTTCCACAGGTGCATATAACTTTCCATATCCATCCGCAATTACTGTCTGTTTGGGGTGAGATAGCAGTTGTTAGCCTTGGATGCTACTTTCAATAACAGTAATTCAGTGGTATACAAAACAAAGGGTTTGTATTTTGTGTTTTATTTCAGCCCCTTCTGTTCGAACGGCTGCTTGGTTTGTAACTAAATCTTAGCTGTGTCTCGTATTCAACTCTGCGTCTGAAAAAATTGTTCTTTACCTGAAACTTGACCTGTGGGTTTTGTCCCGCAAAGCACAAAACAATTCAAGAGTAATTGACAGATTTTATGATGTTTGAGACATTTCTTTCCCCAGGCCACCGCTCATGTTTGATTCATTCCTACATTGCTCCTTAGTCAGCACAATCATATATTTTATCTCCACAGTTTCTCTACTGTCTTCTGCTCTCACTACCTATTCAACGTGATCTCTCTGGTCCTTTGCCTCAGTCTTCTTTGCCTCTTAGTCTCATGGGAACTTCTCAGCATATTTCTTAGATAGATAATGACACCTATGGAACTTTCTAACTTGTTTTCTTACTTTAGCTTAGAGTGACAGTGATCGATTTTAATCATATTAATTTGTTCTTACAGAACACTTTTTTATAAATATATGTGTATTTTAATGTGTGCCAGTAATTTACTTATCTGTACCTTTTTAAAGTTATTACAAGAACAACTGAAGATATACACAATGTAGAGAGTTAACTTAAGACAAATTCAGAGCGGAACCAAATGCACTCAGATTGGTGTTAAATATAACTCTTAAAGTGTGACTTTAACACTGCAAAATGTACGTTGAGCAGTATCTTAGGGATGCTAAAAATATCACATTAATTAAAATTCTTGCTCTTATGTTGTTGTTTTGTTTTTTTTGTGTGTTTTATGTTTTTTTTTTACAACAACTAGGAAAATATGCCATGAGGGATTTGATCCATCGGTTACCAGGCAGTAGTAGCAGCAGCAACAATAATACCACCAGCATCGGAACGTCAGGCACTCCCAGCAAGGCCATGTCAGACGATACAATTACTGCCATATGCTGCGCGCTACATGAGGTGATAACCAAGAATATGGAAAATGCAAAAGCTCTACGTGATGCTGGAGGGATTGAAAAACTCATCGGCATTGCCCGCAGCAAAGGAGATAAGTAAGTAGACCATAGTTACAGAATTGTGTTTTTAATTGCAACTGTAAGGAAACAAATTCAAAAGTTTTGAGATTAATACTTGAAATGACCACAGACTGAAAGATGAGCTTCATTATTTAGAATAAAAAATAAAAAAATTTTGTGCAACTTCTGCACATTGCTTCTTTAGTAATACAAAAAAAAAAAAGTTTAATAAATGATACGGTATGTGGTTAAACTCATTTCCATTCCAAAAAGCCTTCATCTTGAGGTTTGGAGATAATCTGAGCTAAGCTTGTCCAAAGTTATGATAGTTTTGGATTTCTTTTTATTCTAATTTAGTTTTATTTATTTATAACTATTTTCTTTCTATAATTAGTTTTTTTGGAGATTACCAGTTTTTATTAGGTGCTAGTATTTGATAATAATTTTTGTTTTATATGATTAAATAAATATAGAATTTAATACAGTGTAAAACCTGTAAACTGAGCTCTATCTACCCTTACCCTATCTGAGTATAAAGATCCTGTGTTGCACACACATGCCATAACTCTATGTAACCAGCAGGGATCCTTGCCTTTATGAAACCTCTTTTATCCATCATTCATACCTGCACCTTTGTTACCTGTGATCATTCATCTAAGAAAAAAATAATAAAACAGAACAACAAGGAATACCTAGCTTAAATAGACCTTCTCACCATGGGAGACCATGCAGGGTGTTCTGCCTTGCTGCTATAGCAACCAGTAGGTCAGGGGTTGCCATGGCACCAAAGTGTTATCAGTCTGAGGTCAAATTTTGATTTATCGTGGAGAGAGTAGGTCTATTTAGGGACCATGCTCTAGGGTACCATTACACAGAGGAATGAGGTGCTGACAGGAATCTCGCATAAATGCAAATTCCTCAGTGAAGCAGTTATCTACTAAATGGCTCACACATCTTCATTTTCCTATTGGCACAGGAATAAGCAGCACTATAACACTTTAACACATTTACACTTGTATAGTCTGAGAAAATACTTCTCATGTTAAAGTGATACCGTGTATAACTGTAAATAAAGTAAACAATACTGTCTAAAAATGCTGCAGAATATAACATTAAATGATATAGAGGGTTATAATGAATAAATACTGAAACACAGATTTTTGAACTTTTAGAACATTCTTATCTTTTAATATGGTCCAATTCGGGCTCTAAGGTTATTGCAGCCAAAGATTATTTTGTTTTGTTGTAGGAATGAATAGAATTAATTACGTAATTCTATCAAGTGAGTTCCTGTTATGAAGATCCGGAAAATTTAAACCATCAACAAATTTTTTAATTTAGATCTAAAACAATAGCATTAATTTGCTATGTATCCATTTTATCTTTGAATTATTCAAAAAATATATATAAACTTACTTTGGGACAAATAGAAAATGAGCTTTTTTCCCCCATATGACTGCTGTCAAAAGACTCATAAACTTACTTCCACTATAATGATTTTTCATCTGCGTGGCAAGTAGGACACCATTAGCATGGCTGCGTCGGTCATTTTAAACTCACATTAAAAGAAAAAATCTCCTTTGAAAAGAGTAATAGTTTCTTTGAAGCCATTCCAAATTTTCCTGGCGTACACACATCTGGCGTAACTGGCAAGAAAGGGAGTCAATGTAAAAATGCAAAAATTACAATAAATGGGGTTTCTAAAGAAATAACTTCTCATCTTTTTGCAATTTCTTTCCAGACACTCAGCAAAAGTGGTAAAAGCAGCCTCTCAAGTCCTTAGTAGTATGTGGCAATACAGAGACCTGCGCTCCCTCTATAAAAAGGTAGGTGTGTTGTAAACTATGTCCTGCTGCATTTGTAAATTTTAAATGAGGCTGTTCTCCTCTAATTGACATTTAGTTTCTCTCTACTGGTTTAAGATACTCGAGGTTGTTCTGTTACTTTTTCCAGAATTCAGTCCCTCAAAGAATGTCCATCTTTTCTTCTACCTTCTCTGTCATGACAAAGCATAACTAATATAACACGCTTAGGCAAAAACCATGCTACAGCTCTAATTAGGTGGTGATAGCACTTCTGCTATAATAGAGTTCTGACATGGCATAATTAGAAAAATTATTGCTATATTTAGAAATCTGGCCTGATAGCTTTTCACTTTGGCTAAGGCAGATGGTAAAGCTGATTCTCTATGGAAACATGTAAATGGAGCTAATGAAATACACATTTCCATGCTACATTTTGTAGAATAACCAGCTGATCATTTACTGTTCTATAAAAACACATGAAATCTCATTTGATGAATTTCTGCTTGAGTTGTTTTCTTCTCAGGAGCAATTTATTTGTTGGTTAACTGTGAAAGCTGTGCAAGTAAGAATGACTGCTGAGCTTTGATTTACATATGAATATTTGGCAAAACCTTATTAAATACTGTCAACATTTTTTGGATTGCTTGAGATTTTAATTTTCAGCCAGAAATGTCTAATAAAATAAAACCTAGTAGTAAATAAAGACAAGTGAAATAAATTATTTCAATTCAATCAAAAAATACCAAAGGGAAAATAAAAGTTTTTTTTTTTTTTTCATCGAGTTGTTGTAGGTGTTGATAGCTGTAGGCAAGAAGGATCTTCTGTAGTGATCTGTCTTGCACCGGGTCTGTAGAAGCCTCTGACTGAAGACCCTTTGTTGTTGTTGTTTAAAAATCCTCTGAAGAAGATGCTCACAGTTGTCAAGAATTTTCTTCACTTTATAAAGAATTTTTCTTTGTCAAATCATCTCCAGAGGTTCTAGATGAGTTCCTAGAACACAGCAAGCCTTCTTAATTAAATTGTAGAGGTTTTTTAAGTCCTTAGCTCTGGTACTGTTACCCCAGCCCATCCTGCTGTCCATAACAGACTTTTAGAAGATATGTAGCATCTTGTTGCAAACGCAGAGGGAACTTAGCTTCCATAGGAAGTGCAATCTGCTCTGTCCCTTCTTGTAGACACATTCACAGTTGTGTTTCAAGTCTAGTTTGTTGTCCAGGGGAACACCAAGGATTTATACTCCTCCACCACCTCCACTTCTTCTCCCTTGATTTTAATAGGATTCAACCTGTTCCTGTTTCTTTTGAAATTTACAACAATCTCCCTTGTTTTGCAACCATTCAAGATCAGAAGTTTGTTAACACACCATGCCACAAGTATTAAGCTTCTTGTCCATCTTCGATGCACCTAATGACTGAAGAGTCATCTGAGTATTTCTGCAGATGACAAGTGTATGTCTGGTACTGGAAGTCAGAGGCGTACAGAGTAAAAAGGGAATTTAGAGAGCACTGTTGTATGTTGTGCTCCTGTGCTGCTGACTATTTGATTAGACAGCAGACCCTTCTGTCTAACAAACAGTAGTCTGTTTGTCATGTAGTCTTTGATCCAGGCGATTGTTGATGCCTCCACCTGAGTCTTCTCGAGTTAATTGGCTTAATTGCGTAAATGCACTGGATAAATAAAAGAGCAGGATCCTCAAAGTGATGCCTGCCATGTCTAAATGACAGCAGATTTGTTGAATCAGATGTATAATGGCATCCCCAACTCCATGGTGATAAGCAAACTGCAAAGGGTCCTGATAGCTACTTGTTTGCTTGCTGTGGTGAACTAACAAAACTCTCTAGGACTGTCATGATATGGGATGTCAGGGCATCCAGGCTATAGTCACTGAGGGCTGTTGGCTGACTCTTCTTTGGTAGTAGAACAAGGCAGCAGATGTTCTACATCACTGGACCTGTCTCCAGGGTCAGACTAAGGATGAACAGGTGCTGTAGAATCCCACAGACCTGCTCTGCAGAGGCCTTCAGGACTCTGGGCCTGACGCTACCAGGACCTGGTAACGTATTACGATTCAGCCTCTCCAGTTGCCTCTTTACTTGAATTCTAGAGACAGACAGGTGAAACTTGAAGGGAGCAGCACCATTTTCTGATTTGGTGGATGACAAACTCATAGAAGCAGGAGAGGCAATGGCAGAGGAGGGCAGGATGTCCATGTGACTGTGGGCAAGAGAGAGGGATGCTGAGCTTGTTCCTGAACTGAACCTGTTGAAGAATGTATTCAGTACATTGGCTCTGTTCAGACTTCTACCGGATCATCTTTCTCCTTGAAGCCTGTGATTTTCCTCATCCCTGACCACACATCTCAGATATTGTTTTGCTGGAGCTTGTTTTTCAGCCTCTTCTTGTATGTCTCCTTGCTTTCTCTTATCTTGTCCTTAAGTTGCTTCTGTATACTCCTCATTAATTCCCTGTCTCCCTTCTCGTTTTTCTTGTCAAGCAGTTGGTTCAGATCATGGTTTATTTTTTCGGAAGCATTTCACTGTTTTAGTAGGGATGTTTTATCTACACAAACATTTATGTAGTCAGTCACACACTCAGTCATTGTATTGATGTTGTCTTCATGTGGCTGGCAAAGTGCATCTCAGTCTGAAGTCTCAAAACAATGTTGAAGTTCTCTTCAACTTCCTTTGACCATCTTCTTACAGTTCGTTTTAATGCAGGATGTTGAAAGAATAACAGCTTTGTGCACGGGAACGTTGTGCACTAAAGTTATCCTGTTTAACTTCCTCTAGTACCCTGTGATGATGAACTGTGTTAGATTGAATTTATATTTACTGCAAAGAAATCTCAGTTCTCAAAAATCTTTTTGAATCTTTAAAAATTCAAAATTAAGTCTTAAGTGTAGGATCTTTTTTCCACATATTTTTCTTTTTCAAATTAATTATTTTTGAAAGCAAAAACAAACAACCAATCAATTGTATTGCAATTAGGACCTCCAACATTATACTTTGCATAACTGTGAATCATATAGTATATATATATTTTTTGGTTTTCTTTTATGAAACTTGAATGACTAGTATACAGTTGTAAAAAAAAAAAAATAATAATACTTGTAATCTAAAATCTAATGCATTGAGTTGCCTTCAGAAGTCGCCTGACATTTGATTGGTTTCACCTGTTTGGAATATAAAGACAGCTTTCCTTTAACACTTTCAGAGGTGTGTTAGAAAATAATAGTGAGTATTCATCATTTTTAACACCAATAAACATCTCAGAGAGGACTGGAGATAAAGCTGTAAATGAGCACAAAGTCGGTTTAGATGATAAGATGGAAATATCTAAATATAGAAAGCAGTTCTTCTGGATACTTTGCAAAATATGGCCATCTACCTAAACTAATAGGCAGGGCATTAAAAGTGTTTATCACAAAAGTATCCAAGCCCCTCTGTAACTCCAAACGAGGTGCAGAGATCAAGTGCTCTGGTAGGAGATTCTGTCGAAAACGTGTGTTGTTGTTTTTTTGTAAAACAGTATGAAACAATGTGAAAACTCAGTGCTCGTCACCCTGAACATGCCACCCCAATATCATGCAGTGACAGGGAAGCTGATCAGAGTTGATCAGGAGAATGGTTTAGTTAAACATAGGAAAGAAAAACAGAGACTGCAAAAGACTAGGGAGTTCTATTACTCCAAGCAGGGCAGCAGCCCTCAGCATACTGTATGTCAAGAGCCACAGTGCCCTTTTTTATGTAAAAATATCTGAGTTTAGCTAAGCTATGTGTTACAATTCCCAAACTATTGATTTTAAAGCTATTGCATGTATTTCTTGCTAATTTCTGTTCTTTCTGAGGCTCATTCAAAGTTTTCCAAGTTGAAGACTCTTTGTGAGTCAGTAGGACTGCCTGATTATGAAGGATGTTCTATTCTTGGTATTTTTTAAAGTTCTTCCAGCTTTTGTCATATTGGCTTGAGTTTAATCATATTTGAATGTGATTAGTATGATGTAATTGTCTACAGTGGTGTCAAAAGTACACACTTTTGTTACTTAAGTAGAAGAATAGATACTGCAGTTTAAAAACAATCTGGTAAAACTTGAAGTATCAACCCGACCTCTTTACTCAAGTAAAAGTGAAAAAGAATGTGCTCCATAAACTACATAAAATATAAAAGTATAAAGTAACCTTTGAAGCTCAATTTTTCGACTATTTCCAAAATTTCTTTGAGATAGGGCCAAGGATGAGGGAAGTCTTGTTGGTCTCCGTCTCCATCTCCCGATACGCCCTCTCTTGTGTCTGACCTTTCAGACATTTCAACATCTTTTTTTGAATCCCACATTGTAGCATGGCATAGAAAATTCATGTTTGCAGTTTGAAGAACACCTGCTTGCTTCTGATGATTCCCTTCATCTAACCAATGAGTGTTTGTGTTATATGACTCATCCAATTACACTAGTTTTCACTAGATGTGGATGGAGCCAATGATCTGCATTGGATGGCACATATGACGTGAAATAAATATTTATAAGCATTAAACCGCAGCCAAGGGTAACAAGTAACGTTTGTTTTAAAAATGTAAGGAATAGAAAGTACAGGTACTGGTGTGAAAATGTAATGAGTAGAAGTCAGAAGTAGGAGGAAAAATAAGTTATGGAGTAAAGTTTGGATACCTAAAAAGTGTGCTTAAGTACAATAACGAAGTATTTGTACTTCATTACTTGACACCTCTGATTGTCTAGTACTTCTTGAATAAACATTTTCTCTGAATTCTCAGTCATGTTCAAATATAAGGCTGCTGTGAGCGTCTATACTGTATATAGTTAGAACAGTAGTTTTACAAATTTCAACAGTTCTATAATATACCTGAAAATACATTGTCCTCTTTCCAGTCCAGTTTTGTAACTGTGGAAATTGATGTGTTAGAGGACTTTATCACTAGAGTCCAGAGCTCAAAATAAGTAACTAGGGTTCTTGTATCCTTGCTTGACATATTAGGTCATGGCGGCTAAAAAAAAAAATCCCATTAGT